TTTTTCATGAGAAATGCAATTTGCCACAGTAAACAGGTTTTTCCTTGAATTTGAACTAGGGACACCAAGCCATGTTACGTATCAAGGCTGCGACCATAATTGATGCATAGATTAATAATTCAAGGAGATTTAATAGCTCTGGGTCACAATATAATGGCCTTCACTGTGATTCTAGCTGTGAAAACAGCTTCAGAAGCATCATTCATACACTGTAGTGTAGAGGGGTATGTAAAAACGAAAATGTAATTGCATAAGTGTTCTTTAGCTAAACCTGAAAGGGTATCTCCTATGACAATAATTGTAAAATTGGTGTCCTGATCAAATTTAATGTGGAAAATGTTTTAAAGATACATGTATACCAGTATATGCTACCAATCTGAGAAATTGGTGCTGAATTGTATTATAGAAAGAAAAAAAAACACAGACATGCACCAAAAAATATCCAATGCTCTAAAGCTAATGACTGCGGTAATCTGCAAAGGACTTAGAGACATCGTCAATGAAATTAAGCACTATATTATTATTATTACCTTTACCACAAACCCCCTGTCCACACACAACATTTTCGCGATAGTGATACCGTTTCGCGATAGTTTTACGACCAAAATTGTAGGTGTGGACGCTCACTAACGATACGTCGTATAACGAAACTAGTCTAACGAAACGCAGGTTTGGGCATCGTTTCGAACTGAAACTCAATAAAGAATCACGCCTTATCACGGAAATGTTGTGTGTGGACAGGGGGACCCCCTGGGGGAGTGTAACTAGTGTAACTAACTGGGCGGGGCTTAACGTGACCTCGAGCGAAATGAGACCAGACCTCTTATCACTATCGCGAAACTCTATAAAGAATCACGGAAAATGTTGTGTGTGGACAGGGGGCATTTTATACGATGATTCTTTAGTGACGACGTTTCTTGTGTGTGGACATCCTGGAATTTATACGATGATTCTTTATACGACGTATCGTTATAGAGTTTCGCGATAAATTGTTTTGTGTGTGGACACGCTGATAGACGCTAGACCAATTTTTGATGGCTATCTTAATTCTTTAAAGCAATTGGTGATAATTAACACATGGAACCTTCGTTTAAAAAAGGTTGAGTTCTTGTTAAGGCAGAAAAACAAAGTTGTGAGCATTAACATTCTTTTTATTCCAATTAATTTTGAAGAATATCAGAAAATGTGAACAAAAAATGAATGATTGCTCTGGAAAAGCTCTATTCGTCCCCAAAAAGGCTTTAAATAGGCTGAAAGTTCAGAGCATTAACATTCTTTTTATTCCAATTAATTTTGAAGAATATCAGAAAATGTGAACATAAAATGATTGCTCTGGAAAAGCTCTAATAGTCCCCCAAAAGGCTTTAAATAGGCTGAAAGTTCAGATCAAATCTTGATGCCATATGCGGGTGTAGTCCCTTACACCCATACATTTGTGTAGAGCAGTCCATTGTATATCTTCAGCAAGATAAAACAATGTTCCTATTGCAGTTATGATAACATGTAATTGAGATGTATCACAAACAGACAGAATGCATGTAAAAACATGTCGACTCAAAGGAAATACGGAAAAGTATTTTTTCAAGTACATTGTAATGGAGAAATAGTCATACAGTACTACAGCTGTACATTAATCCAGAACACCTAATGGGAAATGTTTTCCTTTTCATTTAGAATCATCTGTACTTCAAACAAATCCATAGCTATTTCCTATTAATTAAACTGAAACTAATACCAGTTTATTTTTAATTGTTCTAGTTCCAAAAATATATCCTAAATAATCCTAATTAATATGTAACAAGAAGTATTCCCTCTGCATAAGCATGGCAGATAGTTTAACTGTTGTTTAATCCTGCAAGTTTATACATGTAGTCCCCTCTTTCTTTCAGAAAATATCACCAGAAAGTTTGATTTAAAAGTGCACAATGCTATGTTTTCATCACGATTGTAGTGCTTTACAAGCCATTTAGATGGGGTTTTTTAATGATATGATTTATATAAGTATTTTTCCACTTAAAAAAGATGGGAATAATCCAGTATTTCCCTAAGAATTTGCACAATCACTGTGTCCAAATTAAAAGTATGCTTTACATGTATGTACATGTATCAAAATACTGAAAAATTTATAACCCATTGTAAACATTGACATTGAAATGAGTTCTGATATTGCATACCGTATATCACCCTGAAAATTGCTTTAAAACTTTTTAATTAAAGCCTATTGTACATCAACAAAACAAAAATTATCTAAATATATACAGGTATTATTGCAAAAACTCTATGCATGAGTCATAATTCTACCTACAGAAGAGAAAAGATGCATACAACAAAAAATTCCAAACAATATGGAACTAATTAGACAAAGCACCCCATATGAAAAAAATCACACACCAATAGCTGTATGCTGGTGTATGGCCATATGCATTACACACTCATAGAGATTTATACACACAGAGAGATCTCATCTAGGGAGGATCGACTCGCCATCCAGACTGCATTAACTAACGAAGAACTACAAACAACTCCGCCAACACCCATCCATTATAGTTTCCACTATGTGCTACTAGTTCACCATACAGCAAAAAGAGACTGGGGTTCGTTAAGTCAAACGAGCATATACGCTCCGCGCTCTCCGACACACACACAGATGCATATGTTGTACCGTGGTGTGTATGCGTGTGTGTATGTGTGAGCTGGGTGAGTGTATGATATTCGTGGACCCCATGCACCTGTACGATGGCGCATATAAGATACCGTACAACCACCACGCATCAAAACTCATCACTTAAGCCGACTTGTACTAAAGTCCACAGACTATCTCCCATCTCATCTCATCTCATCTCACCTCACTGAAAGGCATCTATTCCGTAGATCCCATCTTAAAGACTCCAAAAAATATCCTCCAGAAGTTTGCTTCCTCCACACGTCAGAGGCACGTCAACCATGTACATTAGTATCCAAGACTCGCATTAAAAAAGTAACACTTTGCTGACGACACGCCACCCACTTTCTCTGCTCGGCCTCGGTAACAAGCGTCCACTAGTGGCGCACAAGTAGAACTTTGTGCCGAGGACTAAGCTTCTTCGCTAGTCAGTTTGTGTCATCCTCCCTCTCTCTCCCTCACTCCCACTCTCTGTTCCCTTAACTTTGCTCAAACAAAGACAGGAGAGTGCCAAGGATCATTTAATATGCGCGGTGGTTTGCGGAGCGATCCACGTTACTGAGATGGAGGGAGGGATCGGGGAGGAGGGTGGATGTGAGAGGGTGGTGGCGTGTGCGAGAGAGAGAGAGAGTGGGAGGAAGAGAACAGGCCCATCTCCGTAGTAGAAGCAGTAATAATAATAACACTCATTCCATGGACAACTAAGTATGGCTGAGATAATAAGTTGGCAATAACTGTGTGTGGAGTGTTCCATTGTGTGAGCGGGGGTGGCAGGTGGCCATGAATGGATGGCCTAATCTTGAGTATTTAATTTGAATGCATGGGACAGACAAAGGCCTAGTGGTCGTGCTTCAATTGATTGCGGTAACTGATACGAAGTTGGCGGAATGATGCAGTCACTATTTGACAAATGGCTCCAGAAATTAAAATATATGGACCTCTATCACTTTCTTTCATGAATTTTTAGATAGTAGACCTTCTAGTTTCAGTTTTAATTCTGTTCAGTATTTTCTTTTCTTAGCATAGTAGTGTCATCATGACTTTTACTGAAATGATTTATTACTAACTTTAGCTGTCAATTTTACTCTTTACAATAACTAAGAACAAAAACTCAGGAAAATCAAATGTTCTATAATTAGTTTAAATCCTGATTTTGTCCATTCTTTCTATTAAAAAAAATCTTATTTTTAATCTGTTTATGCTCGAACATTCACTGACATTTTCCTCTCATTTTTTCTGCTTCTATTAAAACCCAACTTAATATCAGGGGGGGGGGGTCTAATATTGTGTCAGCTGTAAACTAGTACATCTTTCACCTCATGTTACAGGATATTAACATCTTCATGGCTCTCACTCAAATGAATGTGAAAATAAACAGTGATTACAGATGTACATGTACTCCTAAGGATTACAAACAAGGAATTTCGTATCTGTCATCATGATTAAAATCTAGTTCTGTGGCTTCTAACACTGAATTTTGACCAAATTCATATCTCCAAATATTTCTCAATAGAATGACTTATTTGCTATTATAGACCAGTTTACTTACAAATTAAAGTTTGAGGCATACTTTTTAAACAAAGATTGTTTGTTGCTTGCCAGGTATAGCAACAAGTTACATATGCAGACATGATTCAGAGAATTGTAGTTCAGTCATTAATAACAGGTTCATGGAAAAACTTGTCTCTCTACAACGCTAAGAATTTTGAGAAATTAAAATATCAATTTTATCTGTGCTCCCGATAAATTTCAAATAGCGCCTATGGCCATTCAATGGTAGCTGCGACCATGAAAATCTCAGAATATGCAGTTTTTATATATAATTTCCAAACGGGAATAGCAAATCGGTCAAGAAACATTGTTTTTAAGCTATAATGATATCAATCTACAGAGGGAGCTATACAACATAAAGAGTTTATTATTCACAATTTCATCACTTTAGACTCGATTTCAACCCCGACATCGATCATTGAATATTGTAGGATCGCACATGCTTCAAATATGTTCATTTGAACCGAATTCATGACCCCATACCAAAACTTTGTGTCAACTTTAGCTTTAAGCTTACAGTTTCATAACCAAGAATGCATCCGTAAAGTCTAAAACCACAAGATAACCGACAAGTTTTAAACTGTGACCTTAAGTTTACAGACTCTTGTGTAAACCTGATTTTAAGAAAGGGCAAAATCTGAGGAAAAAATTGCTGAGTGGGGGGGGGGGGGTGCAAGAAAAAGAAGATAGAGAGAGGAAAGAGACAGAGATACAGAGATTTTGACATGAAAAACAGAAGACATGACAACAGATGACTGGGAAGTCCATTTCAAGTTTCAACACCTACCGGCTAACAGGTTCTTCATTGCAGATGAGTTTTTCACGGGTGAACCATTCCTCAATGGTGATTTACTGTCTTTGCACCTCTCAACAACCTGCACATTCAAGAAATAAAAAAGAGAAAAAGAGAAAAAGAGAAATGTTACATACAGTAAAGTAAAGCTCAGAGTTACAGACCAGGAACATTTGCACAGTAAAGAAAACAACACAAAAAAGTAAGAAAGTAAACTTTACTCTTTGAGTAAGTATCTTCATACTTTCCAAATACTGGTAAACATAACACACTATCAATAACATGATAGCTTGCATTGTATCCTTCCCTGAAATCATAAATAATTCAGGCAAGATAACTTCATTAAATGGAGGTATATGTTCAATATGTACATGTAGTATAAGCACCTAAATGTACATGTATACAGGTAAATTGCTTTACAATAGGTTATGGTTCAAATATTTAAAAATTAAAAAATAAAGTAAAAAAACTACAAGAAACTTAAAATGACAAATGCCAATTCAACAGCCATTACCCATTCAGCTTTAAACCCACCAAAAGCTGGGATCTATGAAACTCAAAATCCGGTACACAATCATTTCAATAATCAGTAGATCTAAAAGAAATACTTACACTGTACATGCATCAGACTCTTTATCATGTTCAGGACACCCTCGATACCAAAACTTAATTAACTTCTATTCTTTGAATGTTCCAATATTATATAAAGCACTTGATTACGGAACTCTGGACTTTGTAATTTATTCTACACTACTAAAATTGGAGAGGTAGCTACAAAAAATTGTAATACAAGAATATAATAGACACCAACAACGAACTACACAACCTGAAGTACATAGATCATAGTATGAAACAAAATATAGCAAACAGGTGTTTGAGGTTTTCATCAAACTTTGAAACTAGAGGACCCTGGAAAAATGCATGCAATCTAAATGTACACAGTCCACACACTAACACACACACGTACTGTAGACAAAAGAAAATGCCTACCCACACAAAGATTGCAAACAATTTCACAACTCATTATCAGAGCCGGGAACATCTGTTCGATTCCACTATGCATATTAAATGTGTGGTAATTGGAAGTTTGGTGAGAACTGATCAAACAAAAGAACTTATGGTAAGAGCAAACTTTGTTTTCAGCCAGCTAGTGTGCATGATCGTTCCCACAACGAAAAATACATACATGGGACCTGTACATGGACATGGATGTAGGGTTCCGCTGTACATTAATGTAACACACCGGTCATTCACATTTTAATATGAATATTATAATCAATAATACATTTTTCTTTTTAAATTGGATTTGTTTTGCCTACTGTACAGTGTTATCTATTCTCACAAATTACAATATATACAATATACACATGTACAATGTCATCCCAGGGAGTAAAGAACTTTCAAGGCCATATGGTACATGTATGCATTGTATAAAGCATGTACATAATATGTACTACTACTATTCTGAACATTACAATGTATTACATGTATATGTTATTCTTGGACATTTAATTAAAATGGAATACAAAGGATACATAGAATTATGGCTGAATGAAACAAACTAATGAAATTAATTTCCAACAAGGGTCTGCCTTTGTAATAATGCCCCTAGAGATTTCAGTGGAAAGTGCTTTATAAGCACCGTTTTATTATTATATACATGTATATATTATTAATTAATTTTCTAAAATTGTGACTTAAAAACTGCTGCACAATCAGTAAAGCAACATAATTCATTCTTATCACAAATGTGTGTACAATATATTATACACACCAACATCTATAAACTAAAATAAGTAATTATTAGAAGTGATATAATATACAAGCCACCACTGCCCTGGTAAAAACTGCCCTGGTAAAATAGATCTATATTATTATTATCACTCATTAGCACAGAAACAATTCAGTAAATATATGAAAGGGCATAGTGTACATATACTGTACACCAAACTTCCCAAAGAGACTGTGCTTGAAAACCTGAACAGTGCCCTCTCTTGAGCAGAAGACACACAACAGTGTAGAAGTAGCTGGTGTATCCACTCTGTACTACTGTGTAGCACTTTGAGCACAGGATCCACCCCAAACTTTCCAGGTTGCTGACATTACAGTAGCTGCATACATGTAGGCCATGACACAATGAATTTGCAATGCCCGAGTAAAACTTATTTAGGCTTGACTCAAGACACACTTTATTATATGTGACACATTGCATGGAAGACCCCCCCCCCCCCAAAAAAAAAAAAAAAAAAAAAAAAAAATGTAATGTAATAGCAATAATCATAATAAATATAAATATGTAAAATAATATTTTTTAAAAGAAAACACAAATTGAAAAATTAAAAAAGAAAAAGAAAAAATAATAATAAATAATAAAAAAAACAATAATAATGAATAGTAAATAATACATACAATTTAAAATGTATAATTAAATAATTTTATTAAAAGTTGTTTTGAATCTTGGCACATTTTTACGGAACAAAATTTGTGGATAATTAATACCTGTGATGTTCGTTTCCTCCTGAGGGGGCTGTTGGTGGCTGATCGAAGGGTACGCTTCGGGGATTGGTAGCATCAGAACTCATCGCAGATCAGCTCCTATGATCTGTCATTAAAGATACGGGATAAAAAATAAAACAATGGGATGTTTAATAACAGAAAGAAGGGTAGAGCTAAGAGAAGACTAAACCTGATGGGGGCCAGTTGCCCAATGTAAAATTGATTTTTAGTTTTGAGCCCCCTTTCTTGACTTGTGTACAGAATGCATGTGGTGACTGAATACATACATGTACTGTACATGTACGTGTATAAAAATCATATGTGCATTTATTTTGGCTGTTTGCCTACATGTACATGTACATGTACGTTAGTTATCCCGACTATTTGACAATTGTTTGCCATTGTTAGAAGTGGTTTTATGCGCTAATAAATATCAATATCATATGAGAAGAAATTAACCCTTTGAAAAAGAAAAAAAATTCTACAAAAAAGCCACAAAAAATATTCCTATATTTTTTTTATAAAGTATGAAACTAATACAAAGTATTAGCCATAATTACATTAAGCCCCATCCCTAAGACCCCACCCTCTGTTCTCTGCCTCCCCCCCCCCCCCCACTCCCTCTCTCTCTCTTCACCCCCCACCCCTCTCTCTCTTTCTCTCCCTCTTTCTTTCTTTCTTGAAGCACTAGTCCACTTTGATGAAATTTATGCGCATCATTTTAACACATTTGTAACTGTTTAAAAGTGTTTACATTTTTTTCTGAGAAAAAAAACCTCTCTAACAAGCCTAGTAACGAGACTAACAAACTTGAGGATTAATCTCCCACCGTCCTCCCATATTACAGACACGATTGAAAAACGTTCGGTCAGTCAGTCAGTCCAATGAACAACATACAACATGCAATAGCCCTTAATCATAACTTGTGAAAGTTATGATGGTACTGTAGAGAGCGTATGCATGCAGTATGAATGCTAGGAATTTCCTAAGTCCCGGATTTGTTTGTCTAGGGAGTAACAAGGGGTTGGTTAAGACCAGCCTTCAAGTTTAAATCAAATCAAGGTTAGGAATTCAAGCTACCCATTTCTTTCTACACATATGGGAACTATATGTACTGTGGTGCATGTAGGCCTACTGTACATGAGGCCCATTTACACATCCAAAATACCATTAGAAAAATCATTGATTTTTGTTTTAGTGCCATTTACACCACATAAGGCCATTTTATTAAAAAAACATGTTTAGCATCCTGTATTGAAAAATAGGAAGGAGGAGATCTTTATTCTTTTTTTTCCAAAATGGCCACTCGGTACATTTTCCGACAGTCGGGCTATTTTTCAAGATGGCCGCCGGAAAAAAAGAAGCAGGCGGGGACGCTAAGCATGATTTTTTTTTTTAAAGGAAAACTAGAGCCTGAGAAATTTCTTCATGAAAGTTTGACCATAAACATTCATACTTTCCCAATGTGATGATGAGGGAGCAACATGATGTAAAGCACAAGCACAGTACACATTTTGTTTCACTTTCCAAAATTAAACCAACTTTATCAAAAGTCTATTACTTTATCACTCTACAGTGAGTCTACACAGTACTTGTACTCCCACACCATCAAACACAAAACGTAGAAGAAATGTACAGTACAGTGTACGCTACTTGTTTTCCATAAGGAACGGACATTAAAGAGAAGGTTGAGTTCTGGGAAGAGGTGAAAAATAATTTGTGAGCGTTACTCATTCTTATCATGCAAGTGTGGAAGAACATCAGATAAGACATGTTCCCTGAAAAACATGGCTCTTTAAATGCCTTCATAAATATGCATGTAACATCGTAAAAATCGGGGGGGGGGGGGGGGGGGCTTTTTACACCACGTGTTCGTGTAGTCTCATATACATCTTTCTGTGTACAGTGTTTTGTAACTTTACAAAGACTTGGCCAAATTTCTTATCATTCTGATGATTCCAGAACCTTGCAATACACACAATTCTTATATGCTAGATGATCAACCTTTTCTGGTCAGTTCCACACCGTTTCTTTACAATGCAATCGCATGACCAGAACTCACCTTCATCTTTAAACTGAACCATTGAAAAAATATTCAGATAATGAAAATCAACATAAAAAACGTTGTTTACCCCCAGTCGAGTTATAGAGCATACAGTAGTACACATTTCTCTGTTTACCCAATTTGTTGTTTCCTGTAATGTCATTACTTTTTTTTAAACAGATATTAATGTCCATGATTTACGTCAAAGGAATGAGAATCAAAATAACAATATCTCTGACACATGTCTATTATACAGTAACTCGATGAAACTTAGTGACAAGTGACTGATTCAATACCAAAGCCATTTATAAACATTCCACTGTAGTAATAATAATAATAATAATCACTTTTTCATTTGCTAGATGAAGAGGGAAATTAATTTCATCCCAAATTGCATATACCGGTACATGTAATTGCATTCATGAAGATAATACTTAACTACATGTACAAAGTGTATTCTAAACTGCACTGGACCAGGAAACAATCTTATAAAGTCACACATACCATACATTCTTTTATGCAGCCCAGTCTAATTAGGAGGAAAAGATTTACAGACATTCACAAAAGCCTGTAATACTAGTTTGTAACTTTGTACATTTGAAATACTTGTTATTTCCTTATATACATGTAGCTTGCAGTGTAACTTGGTTGTACAAGTAGATTTGTACATCTTCCTAAACAATATTAGTTTGACTACAAGCAATTGATTTTGGCTACCGGTAGGTACAAAATGAGTAACTTTGCAACCCAGTGAAAACAAGATACAAAGGAGCAGTGGGGGATTTAGCTCTAATTTGTTTTTAAAAATAAAAAATGAAATAAAAATACATTTGGAGCATTCATACAGAAATCTCACTTTCACTCATTCTGATCCAAAAGGAATATTTGCCAATATCACAAACTTTGCACATCGCAACTTCAAAAATTCATAACTTTCTTATTTTTATCGGAATTCGCTCAAACTTTCGCTGACCGGTTTCCTCTTATATTTCTGCTTCCATTATAAAAACATGTAGCTACCACTGCTGACCTTCACTCAATTGTGTTGTGCAGATTTATGGTGGCCCTGAAGGGACATCGCGAATAGACTAAATCGTGAAAAATATGCGATAAAATTCACGATATCGTCAATTTTATCGCATATTTTTCACGAAGAAATTCACGAATTGACTATATCGTGAACTTTATCGTGAACTTTTCACGATGAAATTGACGATATCGTGAATTTTATCGTGAAAAGTTCACGATATAAAGTTCACGATATCGTCAATTTTATCGTGTACTCTATCGTGTACTCTATCGTGTACTCTCCTGACGGGCGCTTCGTAAACAAAACCAGCCCTAGCTGGGGGAGACAGAGAGAAGGAAAAAGGGAAAGGGAAAGAGAAGATAAAAGGAAAGAAAGAATAATAAGAAGAAAAGAGGGAAACGGGGGGGGGGGCGAAGGGCTCTTGCCTCCTCACCCCCCCCCCCGCCAAAAAAATAAATAAGGAGAGAGAGAAAAGGGAAAGGGAAAGAAAATATAAAGGAAAGAAAGAAGAGTAGGAAGGAAAGAGGGAAACGGGGGAAGGGCGAAAGGCTCTTACCTCCCCCCCCCCCCCCCGCCAAAAAAATAAATAAGAGAGAGAGAGAGAGAGAAGGGAAAGGGAAAGAAAGAAGAGGAATAAGAGGGAAACAGGGGAAGGGCGAAGGGCTCTTGCCTCCCCCCCCCCCCCCACCAAAAATAAATAAGAGAGAGAATGGAAAGGGAAAGAAAATATAAAAGGAAAGAAAGAAGAGGAATAAGAAGGAAGAGGGGCTCTTGCCTCCTCCCCCCCCTCCCGCGCCAACAAATAAATAGGAGAGAGAGAGAGAGATAGAGAGAAGGGAAAGGGAAAGGGAAAGAAAATATAAAAGGAAAGAAAGAAAAGAAGACGGAAAGAGGAAACGGGGAAGGCGAAAGGCTCTTACCTCCCCCTCCCCCCTCCCGCCATAAAGGGAAAGAGAAGGGAGAGGGAAAGAAAATATAAAAGGAAAGAAAGAAGAGGAAAAAATAAGAAAGAGGGAAACAGGGCGAAGGGCTCTTGCCTCCTTTCTTTTCTTTCTTTTCCTTTCTTTCCTATTCTCCCTCTTTTTCGTTTTTCTCTTTCTTTCTTCTCTTTCCCTTTCCTTCTCTCTCTCTCTCTTATTTATCTTTTGGCGGGGGCGGGGGGACGAGGCAAAGTCCTTTGCCCCCGTTTCCCTCTTTTCTTCTTCTTCCTCTTCTTTCTTTCCTTTTATCTTCTCTTTCCCTTTCCCTTTCCCTTCTCTCTCTCTCTCTGATTTATTTTGGCGGGGAGGGGGGGGGGGGGAGTGAGGAGGAGGCAAGAGCCCTTCGCCCCCCCCCCCCCCCCCCCCCCCCCCCCGTTTCCCTCTTTTCTTCTTATTATTCTTTCTTTCCTTTTATCTTCTCTTTCCCTTTCCCTTTTTTCCTTCTCTCTGTCTCCCCCAGCTAGGGCTGGTTTTGTTTACGAAGCGCCCGTCAGGAGAGTACACGATAGAGTACACGATAGAGTACACGATAAAATTGACGATATCGTGAACTTTATATCGTGAACTTTTCACGATAAAATTCACGATATCGTCAATTTCATCGTGAAAAGTTCACGATAAAGTTCACGATATCGTCAATTTCGTGAATTTCTTCGTGAAAAATATGCGATAAAATTGACGATATCGTGAATTTTATCGCATATTTTTCACGATTTAGTCTATTCGCGATGTCCCTTCAGGGCCACCATACAGATTAGTGAATAATGGTCAAGACATTAGAATGCACTTTACTTGAATGAAAGTTGCATCTGTTGTCAATGCACAGCGTTCATACACTGTACATTTACATTACACTTCTGCCAACACAGTACACATGTAGTCTAGTTCTTCTAGACTTGTTTAATGTTCATTTCTAAGTCCTGTGCATCTATCCAGCATACTGTACATGTAGATGCAGATGGTGTTCTGTTGGGGTTCTCCTTCAGCTTGAGTGGTGAAGTGTGACGTCATCAAAGATCTATTTTAAGAATTTCTCAGTTTGTTTTCATTTTCCAAAAGAGCATCATTAGGAGCCAGAGCATGTAACACTGAGTTCCCATAGGACACATATTTATTTAGATGGTCATACATTGTATCTCAGCCAGTACTTAACATATTCGATTGGTTTTCAACATTTGGACATTATTTTTGATGCTCTTTTGGAAAATGAAATTTTTTTTAGAAATTCTAAAAATAGATTTTTATGACGTCACAGCTTCGGTACTCTATAGAGATTAGAGAACGATTCACGTGACCTAATTTGTAAGTGTGTAAAATGTGTATTGACAGGCACAGCCTTGTTGTTCAAAACAGGTCAAAAGTTGGCAACAAAACAGACTAGACGTTCGGACTACGGTCAAAAGTCAGCAACAAAACACAGACTAGACATTTAAAACGGATCACAATATCTCTTTGACAAGATCAAGGAATCTGGAATCATATCACCTTTTCATCTCTCACAACTAATTTCAATGTGGATTAACTTTAATAGGCTTTCAAGCTGCAATTTACATTACATATAAAACTTCCTCATACTAAAGGACAGAAAAAATGTTTAAAACTTTTTTTTTAAAGGATTTACTAGCCCCCCCCCCCCCCCCCTCAAATCAAAGGAATACATGTACAAGTTTTGTACCACTGGTCTCATTACACACATCAATTACTGATACTCTTCTTTAGTTATGGTAAGTTCCGTGAGGAACAAAATTACTAAAAAATTACAAACCACAAAATCAATCCGATGTTTAGAATTGGTAATGAATAAACAGTATTGTAATCCAAATCTTAAGAACCTGCCAATACAAGTTTTCGCTGCATGTGCACTGTACATGTACATGTACCGAACACACTCTTTTCTAAACTTCCTTGTATCAAACCCATTATTCAACAAACTCTTGTTGATTCTATGAGGCCTGAGAAAACCAAACTTTCTGATACCAATAACAACTTAAAATGTCACTTTTATCCTGGTACAGTGTTTATCCTGCCTGATACTAATAAAAAAGTTCTTACCATAATGTAGGTTTTCCCGATGTTCACTTGATGTCCATATGTGAGTATCTATATCAACTATTCTTCAACAAAACTTCCCCTTTTGTAACGGTCCGTGCAAACTTGGCCGAGTTCAAACTTTGCACATGGTGCGAAACTACAGATTCATCAAAGTTAACTTATTGTGCAGCTCATGACCACAATGAACACACCTTATGATCCATGGCCTATCATCGACATGGCATGGATGGTTGGTATCGGACATGCAAATAGTTGCTGGTTGTCTACCTCTGTGTATGGGAAGCCTACGCACTCTATATTAAAGAAGAGTACCATTACTACTAAAAGTTTAGTCATTGTTTTATTTACTTTAGGCCTGTCTTCATCAGCTCGAGATTGCCAAATAGCCCCCCCTTTTTCTGATTTTCTGATCAGCTCGAGACTTGACCTCGAAACTTGAAACTCGAGCTCGAGAGATTAGCTCAAGATATTTTGCTCAGCGTTCGCACAATAGGGGCAGTTACACTGTCATCCAAACACGCCAAAAAATGCCAAACCGGAGCCTGGCCGCGATGTTACCAAGGGCAACTACGCTTTACCGGCAGACATGCCAAGCCCCAAACATTCCAAAACGAAGTGTGATCTTTTGGCGTGTTTTGGCGTGTTTTGGCGTGTTTGGCAAGTATAACCGCTCGCAGTTGTAACATCGCGATGTTAGGCACGTGACTTCCGGCACTTCCGGATTGTTACCCGCGCTCTTTTAAACCACGTTCTTCCCGTGTGATATTTATAGCATTTCCATCGTCGCGCGTGTTATCCGTTCATTCAGCTCCGTTTGTTCCAATTCCGTTAACTCATCCTTTATTCAATCTTCGTTATTCCCGTCTGGCCATATCTGTCTAGTAGTAGTATTTGAGTGTTTTGTTAGATTAATTAATATGGAAGTGAACAATTCCCATTGGACTGATGATGAGATGAAGTTCTTGATTTCGATGTGGAGGCAGGGAGAGCTCCTCCACCAGACTTCCAAGCGTCCCTGCAAACGTGGGGAAAAGGGCTTCAGAGAAATGAGTGAAAGCATGAAATTAACAATTAACAACGATGATTTTCTTAACCTTCCCATATCGTTTTTACTACTAGATTTCGATTGAATTTGGGAAAACTGAATCAGCAGCCGTAGTCCATACTTCGTAACTTATCCACTCTTGCCTCAAATACTACACGCGAGATAAACAAAACATATCGCATGCATGCCATGGGGATGTATCGCTATTAGCTAGCTATAGCGCTAGCTGGAAATTGCGCGCGCTAAAAATCTTATAGCAGGCCGGGGTCAAAGGTCGGGAAGACTGCACATGCGCATTACCAACCGAAACACGCCAAAACATCGCTGAACAGCTCCGTCGGTGATGTTTCAGCACAAGTGTAACCGGGTGCACGAAACATCGCGACTTTTCAAATGAGGTATTTGACAGTATAAATGCGCCTATAGTGGAAGTCTTCGGGCTAGTGAAGACGCACCGGACAAATAGCAGGATATTTTGCAAACTATAGCCCAAGATATCTTGGGATGATTATCTCGACCGAATATTCCGCTAATTGCAACTTGGGGCTGATGAAGACGCAAAGTCGCAAATTATCCAGTTAATTTGCGATCGGGATAGCTCAAATAGCGGGTTATTTGGCAATCTCGAGCTGATGAGACAGGCCTTTTGAGTATACATGTAGAGCTTGTCAATCCTAAAGCCTTTGTTCAAGACAGGAAAGCAGGAAATACCAAGGAGATACACAACTTGCATCATTTACTTTTTCAATTGACCAATGGGCAGATTACACCTTCACAGCGTTGTTTGCGAGATCCTTGGGCAACAAGGAAAAGGGTTTAATAGTTTAAGCATTTCATAGGTTTGGGGCCATAAGTTATTCATTTAAGGAAGAAAAAAAAACTTTTAAGCAAATTAATTACAATACTGAAGCATTAATACACTGCAAGCAAAATCATCTATTTTTCTCACATCCTGTGTTTTGCCTAGCAAGACCAGCAAACACGAAGAAGAAGACAAAATAAGCAAATTCACTTCTGCTGAATATGAATATGAATCAATAGTGTATTTATAAGTATAACATGTACATATAGTCACCATGCATGGTCTCATATTTTTAATTTCAACTTTTATCTATAGACCTACATGTATGTACGATCACTGTTGGCTTGACTCGAAGCTCATTGCCGTATTCATTACCCAGTGATGCTGGAGAATAGGCCTACCCCCTCTGAGCTCTGGGATATTTAGTTTTTACTCAATTTAAAAAAGTTATTCGACATTCAGTATATGTATATCCCATAAAAAGAAACATATGGTTAGGAATCAATCAGCCACGTCTGCAAAATTAATACAGACTTATTCAAACTGAAGTAGATACATGTACATGTATGTAAACTAATTAATATTAAATTAGATATACATGTAGGCCCCCTTTTTCAATTAAGGGGGAGGAACTGAAACAGGACAACACACATTTGTGGCAACCTTGTCATCTGTGACTGGTTGCACATTTGCACAACAAACAAAAATGACTTGGTCTCAAACAAGCTTTGCTGTCGAATCTTTTTACAGTTGAGTGAGAAATTGGAATAACATTTTACACACATGGAGCCAAAGTAAGGAAAACATGTTATGGAGTCAATTCTATATAAGGAAGCAAAGCTGAATGAAGGAAGTGAAACTTGAGGTATGCGAAACACGAGGATCTAACATTTCCAAAGGGCGGGAAACATTTGGCAGAGACACAGTTGCTTTATAAATTGGAGCAGAATTCAATGTCAACACGAAATGCTCAATCAACATAAATGGGGGAATGAAAGCCGTTGAAATCCAGTTTAAAACAGCATTTATTTCTTACACATAATGGTGTTCTACAACAATGATTCATATTGTCATTAATGACTATAACAACATTGATTAGATCAATACTTAGATTTTAGACCCTACTCTGAAAGTTAACAAACTTGTCACAAGATCAACCCTCTCCAGAAAATGGAACCGTCCAAAGTTTACTGCATGGTCCACAAGTTATGGTCGCTACACGACAAAAAGGAAAAAACTTTTTAAGACACTCCACATGTATAACTTTGAAAACTCCTTCTAAAGTCTGGGAAATGTTATTACCATGCCTATCAAACATCACCATATCGAAACAGCATGTATTTTCTTCCCACATGTGAACACGATCAAAAGTACTTAAATTGCAACATGAAGTAAACTTCGTGCAAGTTACTGGTAGTAAGCTAGACCGTCGCTGGTAAACTTATTTTGCACCGCACTCATGCACATAATAACAATACACTGCTATAGAAATACGTGTTATACCGCGCGTTAGCAATGGGAATAACCGGCTCGGCTCACTCAAAACAACTTTCAAAACTCTACAAAAACTGCATATACGCATTTCCAAATGCTTCCAAACTTTGCCAGATGTAGGCATGATATATCATACTTCATAAGATATTGTAGCTTACCTTCAAATGATAAATCCCGTACAAAAACGACGTAAATATGTCTACTATTGCGGTTCCTCGTGGTGGAAGTTCTGTACACATTGACTGAAATGACCTACGTTCGCAAAACTTTTCGTTTACAAAGTTTACTGCGCAGACTCAGTTCAATCAAGAGTTTTCAGTTGCACTTGGATCCATAACAAAGTTTCGTTTGTGCTTTCTTTGTGTTCAATTCCAATTAAATTTCAGACTCTTACGGCAGTAACTCTTAACCAACGAAAGTGACAAATTATGCAGCTCTCTATCAAATGGTAATGCACATATTTCAAGTTCTTGTGCGTATGACTAGCTTAGCGAGACAAAAAAAATATGGCTTCGTCTGTGCGTTAGGTCCATGGTTGAACGTGTAAAGAGTTTTACACAAAGAACTGAGCTAGGGAATCGATGGCTTCATTGACATGGTAATTAGTTTCAAAAGCTTTGTTTGTTCGTTGTTCGCAGGCAAGAGCGGAGTTTAGTCCAAAGGGGGTCGAGCTCAGCGAGAGCAGGTGGTGTTCTTATTCTGGCATCTGCGAAGTTGGCAAGTTAAGAGAATGAACAAAAAGAAAGAAAGAGCACGAACAGGGGAGGGAGAGGAACACAAAAGTCGATGATGGCTTTGTGGAAAACGGCGCGCATAGAGTCCATGTATTGACCACCGTTAAAGTATCAAGGGCAAGGACTCAACGATCTCTGTGATAACTTCTCAAAATATTAACCTCCATTTTTTTCCACTTATTTTTTGGACCCCTCGGAAGGGAATACCTGATCTGCCACTTTATAGAGTATCGCTTTTGAGGGTGAGAATCTGGGAGACTGGGGAAGGGGGGGGGGCGGGTTGGCACACTTATTGATATTGGTGAGGTTTTTTTTTTTTCGTTTTTTCTTTTTTTTTCTAACGCATTAATTTCAGTGGTCTTTCATGTTTACTGTTCCATTTTCCTCAGAGCAGCATAAAGCTGGTCCTTTGTCAATAGCACATTCCGTTTATATTCTTTGTTTCGGCCTTTCATGATGAATAGCGACACCATACCGTAGGCCTATTAAAGAGCTGGATACTGGTGGTAGGGGTTGTTTGCAGGCAGTAGCCCCCCCCCCCCCCCCACCCCAACTAAAAAAATGTTCAATACCAAAACTAACAGAAAGAAAGAAAATAATGTGAAAAGGGAGGGAAAGGAAAAACTTTCTCCTTGAATTATTGATAACAACCAAACCTAACAACCAAATATGAGGCACATTATATTGTAGGCCTATCTAATTGGTTTACAAACAAACAAAGGACCTCTACAAGCTTAAGTTTAATGAGAGTTACGCCTTCCTAATTGTACAAGTCATTTGTATAGGCCTACCCTACATTGAGTATTTCGTAAAATATTTATTTTAAAAACTCAATAAGAAAATTTCATTTTTGAAAGTGAAAACGAGTTCACGGCTGGTCAGTTTTGTTATTATCAATGGTATTCCTTGTAATGTTGAAGTCTTTTACATTTTTCTTAAGAATGAAACGTGGACGTGTGGACTTTTGTAAATCGTCTTGTGTAATCATTTTTATTGTTTGTCGCATTCAGGAAGCAAGGCCATCTCTGAAGATTTTATATATTAACTTGTTTATTTCAATGTTTACAAATTTAAAAGGGGGACATAAAATGTACCAACAGTGATGTCATAAACTAGGACAAACAAATTTACCACAATTTAAAGAAGAAAAATCAAAACTTGGTGAGGGTACGAATAAATTTGTTTTTAAGTGTACTTATGATGAGAACATGTAAAGAAATCATTCAAATATTAAAAATGAGAATAAGAAACTTAAAGCTTGAAATACGTTATGAATGTCTAAAATAGATATTGGTGAATTTAAAATTTAAAAAAAGTAAAGTGAGAAATGTAAATAGCCTACATATGAATGTTATTAATGGGAAAAGGAAAAAAGGTGAAAGGCTAACATAATAAGATTTTTCTTCTAAAGAAGAATACATAAGCAACAAATAAACGAAAAGGAGTAAAAACATTCAGGAAATATATATATATATAAGAAAGATAAGAAATAAAATAACAAAATTAAAAAACACACAGGCCTACCAATGGATAAAATGGATAAAAGCAAGGAAATACATAAGAAATAAGTTGAAGAAAAAAAGAAAAGAAAAGAAGAAAAAATGATGCGAAAAAGACAATCAAGACAGGCAACCGATTAATGGGGAAAACCCTGTCGATCCCATAAACCCTATATGTGGAACTGGCATTGATCGGGCAGCTGTAACCTCATATTCGGGCATGCAGGGATGTTATCTTTTTGTTATTTTATATATTTATTCGATTATTCAAAAATAATTTTTTTTTCTAAAAAGTACCACCTACAAAATGACTCGCATAGTTCGCTCGATGGCAAATTTTTCTAATTAGATATTCGATATTTCACAAGACAACCATTTGAATTTACTCCCCAATGTACTCGTGCAAGATTCCATGGCAGTAATGTTAATGAAAAGTAATGTTTATATTGGTCATCTGTAGATTAATGATATGAAACAAAAGGCGGAATATAATTTCCATATCAACTCTACAACTTCCTCGATACATCAATATTTCTATGAATATAAACCGTGATTCAGCACGTTGATCAGATCTGATGACGTTTCGCTTTTAATAATTATGACTTTCGAAACAAAAACGAAACGTAGGCCGTAATTCATTTAATGAGCTGAATCGAATTTTAGTGGCCATACTTCAAACACAACGATGTTATAGTTAAATCATTTTTAGTATCAAATAAAAACAATATTAACTGATATCTTAATCAAAAGATTTATTTTTGATGGTTACTCAAAAAAGTCTACGGCCGATGCGAATAATTAGTATGCATATTTATTCCATGATTTATCTATTAAATCCTTCCTTTTCCTTCTTGCAAATGAATTGGGAACTTCTAAAGATAAAGAGAACAAACGATCGTAGAGACTTTCAAGAAATCAACTCAAAGGTAATTCCTACAACCTACTTTTTATCCCATAGAAATCGAGTTAAGATTACGCAATACGTCACTGTAATGTACACACTTTCAATATTTGATGGACAATTCTAAATTGACCAGTTTACTAAAATTAAAATTCATGGATATTTCATTCGGGACCTAGTGGCAAGTTATTCCATTATGATTAATCTTTTACTAATATATGAACTTTACAATACTAGAAATAAGTCTGGAAACATTACTTGTCGGACAAGCCTCGGACAAGCTTTCAGGTTGCAAGAACAACCTTTGTTTATAAACTTTGAAAGTATGCATACAATTTGAAGATGTTAGTGAACCGGCCGCTGGTTAATTTTTCGGAAGTCTATGTAATATCATAATGAAATAAACTTGTATTTGCTTCAAGCTTGGGTTTAGATCAGTTCCATTCTTTCAAGTTTAAACTTTTCTATTTATAGAAGCACAGGCGCATCCAATGTGACGTACAGTGGCCAGTGGCGTAGCGGGGTTCCAGTCATGGGGGGGGGGGGGGGGGCATATGACTATATTTCTTTGATATAATGGGGTGGTCTTATAAATCTTATACCATCTCCCCCCCCCCCTCTCTCTCTCTCTCTCTCTCTCTCTCTCTCTCTCTCTCTCTCTCTCTCTTCGATCTTTATTTAAATACCCTTAGCTAGCATCCCTACAAATATTAGTCAATGATTGATTTATTTATTATTCTTTCAATAAGGTAACCCCGTCAGTATTACCATTGGGGTTCTGTATATGAACACAAACAAATGCATTCATAATTGTATACATGGTTGCATTAACGAAGGCCCCCCCCCCCCCGCAAGAAATAGAAACATTAAATTCCGAGCAAGCATTATCACTATTCCTTAATATGAATGGATGTCTAACAAAAAGAAAGCAGCTCAGTCAGCCCCCCCCCCTTTTTTTTTTCCTCTCTCTCTCTCTCTTTCCCTCTCTCTTTCTCTATCTCCCTCTCTATCCTCCCCTCCCCTAAACCTTTTCACTCTCTTCCACACTCCACTCTCTTTGCCCCTCCCCCCCCCCTCCCCCCCCCCCCCCCCCTCTCTCTCTCTCTCTCTCTCTCTCTCTCTCCCTCTCTCTCTCTCTCTCTCTCCTCTCCCTCCCTCTCTCTCTCTCTCTCTCTCTCTCTCCCCCACCCGGCCACCCTCCCACTCCCTCCCTCTCTTTCAGCCGCTCTCATACAAGTCGACATCTAAAGAAAACTTCCAACACACCGGCTGTGTCCAATGAGTTGCAACTCGGTCGTGATGTTTTCCTGTTGCTTGCTTCAGTCCCCGTCGTATGAAAATGTTTTGGCACATGCAAGCCGGACCGGGCACCGAGCCGAAACTATGCCAACTATTCCGGAGGCGCACCGGGGAGTGACAGGCCGAGCTGGCCATATAAGTACAACTTCATGGGACCCGGAGTTGCTTCTAACTATTTGGTTGTTGTTGTGGTAGTCAAGTTCTTGTAAAGAGTAGGAGGGAGGGGAGGGGAGGGTGGGGGTATTTGAGAGGACGATGAGGGGAGGTATAGATAAGACTGTTTTGAAGTTTTGAAGTTTTGGCGCACGCAAGTGTGACAGCTAGAGACTGCTGAGCATCACCATTCAGGGATGCATCGCTGACTGCGTTGACCTACGGACAGAGGCGATTAGAAAAGTTAAGTTACATTCAAGGCTCCTACCGCCCAAGAATTAAACTAACTCAATACTTACTTCTACGCATAATGCAATTCTGTTTTTAATTCAACATGATTTAATACTCTGGGAGATAACTTCCTGGTCTACATCACATGTGAGGTTCTAACACAGGGGGAGAGGAGGAGGAAGAGGGGGGGGGGGGGGGGGTATTTGAGAGGATGATGAGGGGAGGTATAGATAAGACTGTTTTGAAGTTTTTAAGTTTTGGCGCTCAGTAAGTTTGACAGAGACTGCTGAGCATCACCTTCCATAATAGATGCATCACTGACTGCATCTTGACCTATACGATCTACGGACAGAGGCGATTAGAAAAGTTAAATTTCATTCAAGGCTTATACCGCCTTTACTCTTTAACTTCTACGCATAACAGGCTGACGCATAATATATTTCTTTTTTAATTCAACATGATATATTATTCTGGAAGATTACTTTTCCGGCCTGCTTTTGTCACATGTGAGGTCGCCTTGAAGAAAATGCACTAACAGAACTTCTAACAGAAAGTTCCCGACCGACCCGACAAACTTTAAACATGTACTCGACGCTCACTGAAATCTTTTAGAAACCTGAAAGTACACAAATGTAAAACCATATAGGTTCTTCACGAGAAACGTAAGAATAGTATTGTTGGCTTGAATGTTTTGAATTACATTGCACGTCGCTTTATTATAGTAACATTTCTTCATTTTCAGCAGTTTCCTTGAGCCGAAATGTCATTAATTTTACACATTTAATTTGTTTACACTATTGATTCAAATAAAAAATAAAAAAACTTTAGAAATAAAATTTAAAAATCAACAACTTATAATTAATCGCAACTTTGTGCTTATAACTTATAAGAGACAGGAGTTGAGATAAATTTCAAATTGCGCTTGATTCGGTTCAATCGCAACTCTTTATAAGACGGGGTCACTGATCATTGTATTAAGTACTAATATGGCATAGATCAGACTGAATATGAAAAGAAATTAAACACTTAATAACATTTTATGTTCATAACTCCATAATACTTCGTAAGATATGGGGCACAAAATGATTCAATATCCTGGCCCTAATGTAAATCACAAACACATTCTAGTAATAACGAATTAACGCCAAAGAAAATAGTATAATCAATTGAACTTTCCGGCGTGAAATCATTGACTGAGAGTCAGTATCCCTCTAATTACCAGTACTCGAGAGTTAGCCCGTACTTTGAGAAAAACTGACGTAATTAAAAAGAATTCCGAAGACAATGAAGTCGATGTGAAACCATAGTCTCTTGATAATTGATTGAAGAAGAAAAAATAGACAAGAAGTTCAACAAGCCGTATTTCAAAAGACCAGAAATAGATAAGTTCAAAGTGAATACTATTCGGAACAAACTGAACAGACAGGAGTCGTCTAATATTCATTTAACAAAATAAACATAACAAAACAAAACAAAACAGAAAGTGAAGCAAAGCAAACAAATTTAAAACGAATAAAACAAAGCAAAAAATTACGACAAAAACTAAACAGTACAAAACAAGACTAAACAATACAAAATCAAAACAAAACCTAACGAAACAAAATAAAACAAAGCAAAGCAAAAACAAAACAATACAAGACAAAACAAAACAAACCAAGACAAAACAAAACAATACAAGACAAAACAAAACAATACAAGACAAAACAAAACAAAACAAGACGAAACAAGCAGATACGACAAACTAATACAAAACAAAATAACACTTTAATAACATTAACAAGGCATAACAAAACAAAAAAAAAGTTTTATATATTTTATACTGTCTTGCTCGTTTTCAGTGACCGATCGGTGGGGGAGCCTATAGGGGTAAACATAATCTACAATACTATAACATGAAGAAGCAATCATCTGAATTTGTTTTAAGTGCTTGCTCGCGGCCAAGTTTGAATCAATTGATGGTATTGATGTAGTTATCGTTGCTTCTGTTGCTCGATTTGTTGGTTCTGCTGCTATTCTTGTTCATGCGATTTTGAAGACCGGTACCCCCCCCCCCCCCCCCCTCAACTGCCACCGCTGCCTAGATCTACTACTGATCATATCACCCAAATGATGACTCTCATAAACATTCCAATATGTAGTAAGACCAAACCATTACGTTTGATTCATTGTAATCACTTCTTTCTGGTTTGAGTTGAAGTTACATTTTTTTGATTATAGGCCCTACTTCTACAAGAACTTGAAATCGAGAGGCAACGTAAAGTATTGATGACATTTTCTATGTGTGTGTCTATCTCTCTTTTCTTTCTTTCTTTTTAAATTGGGGGGGGGGGGGGTAGAACTTCAAAGCACTTTCCTTTCCAAAAAATATTGAATATTATGCACCCTCTTTTCCGCACTGCACTCTCTCTCTCTCTCTCTCTCTCTCTCTCTCTCTCTCTCTCTCTCTTCTTTCTTTCTTTTTTAAGGGGGGGGGGGGGGGTGGTAGAACTTCAAATCACACCTTGTTTCCAAAAAATGAATATTACGCCCCCTCTTTTCCGAAATCCTGGATCCGCGCATGGATACACTTATGCGCGTTCATAATGGCCATTCAAATAGAGATCGAGTTCTTTATGCAATGTTTGGATTCATATCACATTTGAACTTGAAGAAAGGCACATACTGCCTCGGTTAATCAGGAGAAGTAGTAAATCTCTCATCCCTCGTCCTTCATCCCCACATTCCAAGCGTTTAATACGGATCAAGGGAAAGTAACGGTTAAAGGGAAACCATAAATGCTGTTGGAAAGAAACTATGTAAGGCATTGAAAGCAGGGGCGGGGCCAGGATGTTTTCCGGGGGGGGGGGGGGGGGGAGGGGGTCTTAGGTATTAAACAAAAAGTGCTTACAATTATATTGATGGTGATGTTAATGATGATTATTATATTACTATTACTATCATCATTATTTTCTCATTATCATTAGTAGTATTATTAGTATTATCATTATCATTATTATCATAAATATCATCATTATTATCAGTGTTATCATCATCATTATTGTTACTGTTGTACATGTATAAGGTCCTCATTCTAATGGGGCATATATTCATAGCACCCCTGAACCCCTGATTATCAACAGGGCTACTTTAGCAAGGCATTCCAAGCACTTCTATATTGGTCAAAGGGAAACCATAAATAAGTTTCAACTTTTGAATAAAGATTAATTAATGGGACATACCGATTCTTATCCTAAATGAGTGACATGAAACCTTGAAAGATGTTTGAAGAAGAAAACAAATGCAACATGTATTAATTTTCATCAACTTTTGAAGTTGTCAAACTTATCTAGGCTGAAGGAACACTAAAGTTTATCATTTAATGATATTAATGTGCATCCAGCAAAGCTCTCTTTCTCTCCCTCTTTTCTATTTCTCTCCTTTGTGCCCACTTTCTTGCTTGCTTTCTTTGTTCTCCACTCTCTACCCCTTTCCCTCCTCCCCTCTATGTATCTCTCTCTCTCTCTCTCTCTCTCTCTCTCTCTCTCTCTCTCTCTCTCGACAGCTTTTATTCAGCTTTCTGTCCTCACATTAACAAGTAGGAGAAATAATAATCACTTATGTGGAATTCTTTCATATAGATAACATCTCCATTTTATTTATAATCATTTTTGATAAATAATGACATATACATGTATATATATTTACAGCAATTGGGAATGTTTTTAGAGTGCTAAAACTATTCCATTTTGTCACTTGGCATTTGGCCTTTCGGGGGAAAAAAGGAATATTGCAGTGGTCAACAGACAATCTCAGTTCATCCGATATATTCTCATGATGTAAAAGTATAATATGTCCTCCACAAACAAGAAAATATATGTTATTATATTTATAGTTCAATCTATATCTTGAAAACCAAATTTACAGCCCATAATTGATCACTGTGTAATCAGGTAATCAGAGATATGAGCTCAAAAACAAAATGTCTGCCAAGAGCCTAAATTAATTCTGTGTAAATGCCCTTCTGGCTCTCAGCAGAAAAAAATATGGACCTTGAAATGTAATGAATGTCCCATAATTTTTTTTTTTTAAATCTATGTTTCGATCATAATTCTGATATAATTTTGAACATATTCTTACTTCTCTTAGATCTTAATTTGAGAGAAAAGAAAATGCTTTAAATCACTTACCAAACATATTGAGTTGTATAAGAATAAAAAAAGCTAATTCCGAGAACATTTTTCTCATGTAAACTTTCTGTACTGCTGATGAACCCCAAAATATAATCTTCAAAATGGCAAGAAGTTATCAAATGCCAAACTCTGTATTTTTCCATAAAAAATGGCAGTTATTCTGCACAAATACATCAGTGAAAATAATCAGTCCGTTCAATTGATTACAGTTATTTTGACTTAAGAAATCTCAGAGAAGAATCATACATATTTCTCCACTGACATTTGGTACTCTGTAGATGAGTCACTGTCTGTCAGAGGTCATAGGTCAAAGAGGAACAGGCTGGCCTTGGATAACTCCTGCTGTACTTGTAAATCAAGATCTTTTTGCCAGAAGAAACAGTTCTTTCTTTGGTGATCTTCTTTGCTGGAGAAAGCCAAGAGAATTATCTTCTACTTCTCTGTCCTAGGCTTGGTATATTGTGGATGCCTGACTGTATTAGCTTAGGGGAACTTGCTGAGCAAAGCAGATGGTCCTTTCAGGAACAACCAGTCCATGTCATTGATTCCAGTTTGTTGACTAAAAATATCAGAGACAAATCTTGTACTTCTCGGCCCTTGGTCCTTTGTCGAAGACTATTGAAGCGACCATCATAACTCAGTGAGGCAAATGGCCACTGGTCATTCAAAGTCGGACCATATCGAGGGTTCAGTGACACAAAGACGTAACTCAATATTATTGCAAAATGAGTATTTTATATCAAAATGTTCAGAAAAATGTGGGCTTTCCAGGAAACACAAAGACCAAACTCCATCCAACACCCCGTTCAAGTCAATGGCTACTGAAACATAGACTTAACTCCTTAAGGCCCAAGTGCTCAGTGGCACATAAACCACTTTTTCTCAAAATGGCCAAAATGGAGTTACGTCTTTGTGTCACTGACCCCTCGATATATTCTTCATTAGTTTGAGTCTCTTTGAGTCCCTACAACATACAGCTGAAAGGAAAACATTACACCTCACTGTCCCTGGTAATCGATTGATGAAGAACTGACGGTTGAACCTCCACAAGGGGAAAACCCCAGATTTAACCTCCAACTGGCAAATTACCAGGAATCTCAGAGAGGAACCTTGTACTTTTCTTGTCTTGGTGCATTGTACATAAATAACCAGCAGTCTTACCATAGCCAGTCCAGCTAATGGTTCACTTCAGAACGAACAAATGATCCATGTGACTTTTGAGTCGGAGAAGCTCAGAGAAGAATCTGGTGCCTATCTCATCTTGGTGCATTGTCGATAAATAACCAGAAGTCTTACCATAGCCAGCCCAACTAATGGTTCACTTCAGAACAAATGATCCATGTGACTTTGACTCAAGGAAGCTCAGAGAAGAATTTTGTACTTTTCAGCCCTTGGTACTCTGTTAATGACTAACCGACCATCGTAACTCAACGAGGCAAAGAGCCAAGGGTCGGCCGCAGACCACTCGGCCGCATACACGCTGTCCTCATGCTCTTCATAGGTTGCTATGACACCATCCTTCATGGCTTCTTTAGACCTGAAACAACAATAAGAAACATAAGCACACGTTACATATAATAATATGTCTTGTTTTACCCAGGGTAGCCTCATCAGTATTCATACTGTTCTCCCTGAGGGCCCTGCAATCATATTTTTACCCCGGTCATCGGATTCAGGCTTACCCGCACACAATGTATGCACATTTTCCCCTCCCTGGGGAGCATTCCAGCCAGTGCATCATTTTTACAAGCGCACACTTGCTAATCTAAGCACATTAGCTTTCGCATCCTACTGGGTACCCATCTAACATATTGATGGAAAAGAGTGGAGCGATCTATACACAGAGTTTGGCCAACCCGGTTCGAGTTGGACACAATATGGCGACTACTGCTTTGTTGGGCAAGCACAAAACAAAAGAATAATTGCCATGTTGTGACCCAGTGAAACCAAGTTGGCCAAACTCTGTGTATAGATGGCTCTAGAAAGGAGGAAGCGGAACTGTGAACTTGATAATAAACCAATCACAACATGACATTTCTTTATTTTAATTATCATTCTTTCAAACATAGATTAATATAAACTTTGCAATTAATGTTTCAGGAATACATAAATCAAAGTAACAACAACAACAAAAGTCTGTGAGAGGTACAGGTAAAGACCAGTAATGGAAATGCCCCAATTTCAAAAAAATGAAATGGAAGCTCTTTATTACCAATCATGTGAAAAAATGTTTTGCCTAATACATGATGATAAAATTTTTGACGGGAAACCGCCTAGTAATTGATATATTTGGTAAATTAGTTTATCTATTGGACTGTGAGAGATAAACGCACGTGTGCGTAGTCCCATATACAACTTTTTGTGTACAGTGCTCGTAACTTTACGAAGACTGGGCCAAATTTCTTATCATTTTGATGATTCCAGAACCTTGCAGTACACACCAATACTTATATGCTAGATGATCAACCTTTTCTGATCGATTCCACAACGTTTCTTTCACAATGCAATCGCATGACCATAACTGGCCTTTATCTTTAAATCAAAACATGCAATTCAGCTCAGGTTGTTGTACTTTACATACTAATAGAAAAGAGTAACCACCTTTTTTAGTAAGTTTATAATACAATTGCAACATGAATACAATCTCTCTATTTTGATTATCATTACACATATACTTTAAATACATTGCACCTAATTTTTAGAAAATACACAATATAAAACAAAACAAGGAAAAAGGCAAACAAACAAACAAACAAATAAAACAATTTAAGCAACCAGTTGATAGTTTTGAGCAGAATGCACACACATGTAAGTGGTAAACCTCAAATAAATTTTGCAATTCTGCCTATGTGGTCAATCATACACAGCAGACATCTTTTGTGTTGATTTTTTTCCTTTTACATTCTCACAATATCGATAATAAATCATCTTACCTGTTTTTCTCCTCGTTATCCATGATGTCGTCATCCTCCTCCTCGTCATCATCGTCTTCGTCCATGTGACCGAACGGTTCGGATGAGATAGATGCTGCGTTGGTTAGGATGACCCGACTATCGCTGCTTGAGCTCAGGACAAGCTGATCATGGAATTGGTTGTATCTTACGCTCCAAACCCTGAAACGAAGTAGGAGAGAGTCTTTATATATTAAAGGCATCGTTTAACAATGTTAAATCTGAGATGCATGGCCCTACATGTTATCAGTGTCTGTGATATGGTGCAATATTCACTATGAATATGACTGACAAAGAAAGCAGACAAAATATACAGTTCCTCAGGTAGACAAAGGAACATCCCTTCACTGCTATTATGTAAAAGTTTGTAGAACAGGTGTCACATGCATATTCACCTTTTTACATAATAGCAGTGAAGGGATGTTCCTCTGTCTACCTGAGGAACTGTATATTTTGTCCCCTTTCTTTGTCAGTCATGTTCATAGTGATTGAAGCCCTAAACAAATTGCGCTTCATAATGATCATGAAGTGCCTCAAAAAAACAAAATCTTTGAATGACTGGTTTGACCATACCTCATTTTCCACGATAGACTTAAGTGCTATAAAAACCGTCAGGAAAACGAAATATGAAATTTTGATTTCCAATCATTAATGTCTTGATAATCAGACAGGCGATCGGCTTGTAAAAGTCATGGGATTCCTGACTGACCTAAAGGTTTATAATTATGATTGCAGCATGAGCTAAATCCAGGATTTTGTTTCAGAATCTGAGCTAATGTTACAGAGTCACTTTAGTATATCAACAGGTGTGACTATTAGTATACATGTATTTCAAAAACAGTGCTCTTTCCCCTCCTTCTTTCCAGTCGGCGCTCTCTCTCTCTCTCTCTTACTGATTTACTTTTCTTGTTAGAATGAGGGCTGCACACATATCAAGCTTGTCAATCAAGTTATCCAGACGTAAATGTCGTGGGGAGGTGTGTGAGTAGATACTCGTTCATGGCCCTAAAACATAGACATATAATAAATTTTATCTCCCCAAAATCTATTGTATCTCCTTCAAAAAATTTATCTTCATAATTGAATAAGTTACAATTAAATTATATTACAGATAGAATTTCTCTTGGATACAATATTGTAGCACGAATGCAGATGCAAACACATATCTATAATTGATTGTAAGTTGGTATATATGTTACAGCGCCCACATACAACTACCACCTACCAGTGCGAATGGTCATTCTGGACCATGACGGGCCATTCGGTGTTGCGAACATCCCAGAACTTGACGCTGCAATCATCGCCGCAGGATGCCATGTAGTATTGCTTGTTCGGATTGAAGTCCAAATCCCGAACCAACTGGCCATGGGCATTCTCTATCATGTATGTTTGCCTGCAGTGGGTTTATAAGAGAAAGTTTTCATTATTAACAATAGTTTCTCTCTTTAGTAGCTTCTTCCTGATTCCATTTCCAAATTGTATTTATTAAAGAGTAATATTCATAGTCACTGTTATATTACTAGAAATGCTCAAAATTTTCATTTGCCATTGATTTGTAAAGTACTGAACCAAAAATTAATTATTTTCCAAGGACCGTTTCTGTGGAACACTCTTCCTCATTACATACAGGGTTCTGCTAATATAAATGTATATAAACGGAGGTATAAACAAATTCTTTTGGGTAAATTGCAATAATCGTTTGAATTCAAGACATTTTGTTTGTTTGTTGTTTTGATTTGTGTCTTTGTATAATGTTCAGTAACGAATATATATGTATTTCACACTTTTTATTATAAAAAGTGGGGCAACCTTTATATCAGGATTATGTTTCCTTTCAGGTTGCAACTTATTCAGTTTATTTTTATGTCCTTGTCCAATGTGTTTTTAATGTGTGTTTTATGTAATACATCTAATTGCTATATGTAATGTTTTTTGTACTGAATGAACTAAAATTGAATTGAATTGAATTGAAAAAGAGGAAAGAGTGAGGAAAGTGGTTGAGTATATATCCTCATAATGTTCAACTCGGTCAAGAAAAAGAACCAGCCTGCGTCCAAGTAAAGCTGGTGATAATGCTTTTCAGGCATCTGCACCATGACTGTAGAATGACCTGCCATGATCTGGCGCTCTGACATTTTACTCCTGGCTTTATTTCATCAAATGTTTTGAGTTAGGGATAGGGTTTCAACTGGGTTTTAGGTTAGGTTTAGGGTAAGCTTTAGGGTTAGATTTAGGGTAAGCTTTAGGGTTAGTGTTACATATAGTGTTTGATCCAGAGTTGAAGTTAGAAACTCAGTTAGTAAAATAGACTAATGCAGAGCAAATGTCAAAAACATCGTACATGTGTGTGTAATTGGGTTTTTACAGAGGTGTATCAATCAGATATGATTATTATTATATCTGCGGACCGACCTTTAACGTCATCTGGTCCATCCTAAAGACGTGACTCAGTTTCGAACCTGCATCCTTGGCTGAATCAGTTTGTAACTTCCATTATTTTCTGGATTACAGGGGCATGCGACAACCCTATGAAGTGATTTTTGAATGGATTTCAAAGGAAAAATAAATATCTTACTCCATAGATCTGAGATCCCACCCTCTAATGGTTGTATCATTGGCTGATGCAACCTGGGAGTTGTTATGATGCGGGTTCCATCGAAGAGAGGTGAACTTAGGATGACCTTTGCCCTCTAAGGTTGCTGAACTCGTCATCTGTAGGTAAGATACAATGTGTGATTTGCTTTTCTTTTCTTCTGATGTATATCAATCATCATCATCATATTATTATTCATCTTTATCCCGAATTTCAAAATTGCATTTTCACCAGGCCAATATGCTCATCACAAACCATCATGGACGGGCGCAAATTAGCAAATTGGCCCGCTTTTTCCCAAATAGCGGGATATTTTGGAAACAAGACCAAGATTTCTCAGGAATTTTCTCAACCAAATATCCCGCTAATTGCAACTGCGGGCTGATGGAGACGCAAATTAACTGGCTAATTTGCGATCGGGATGGTATAAATAGCGGGTCATTTGGCAAACTCAAGCTGATGAGGACAGGCCTACTGAGTGAGATGCGCTCTGTCTGTAAGGAGTTCCACCTATGTATTCTATATTCAAAATATGAGTTTTAAGTATTATTTCTACAAAAGATATTGTAAGATTTAATACACTCATAGAAAGCAACTAGTGAGTCGATTCGTCAACACACCTGCCCTCGCTCACCTAGAATAGGGCACACACAGAAAACCAAGTCCAACTTGTCTTTAGAGCACTGGATTTTATGTCATTTCAATATTTTTGTGTAACTTCCAAACAATTAACACACAGAACGCCAGGTACAGTTTTTGAGATTGATTTCATACATTCTAACTATGGACAAATGATTCTTTTCTTTTCAGTTGAGTGGTACACTTAAACAACTATCAGATCATTTTCCTTCCTCTTTTGTCCTGGCCTTAATCTACTGGACCAATGTAGTACTTGAAGTAAACGGGGGACTTACCCTAGCTCTGCTTCCACTGGCCTCTAGATCCCACACAAGAAACTTATTGTCCGTCAGAGACAGGATCCTGTTCCCATCTCCTTGAGGCTCCCATAATACACTGTATGGGAAAAAAGTTATGAGATATGAGGACAATCTCTATCAACCATACTCATGTTATATCAGTGTCTTCATACATACTTTTTGTATCAAACTGATGATCGCCTTGTTTAAAACATTGTATTAAAAAAAACCTTATCAATATCATCACCATTCTTCTTCTTCTAATCATCCTTATCATCCTTATCATCATCATCATCATCATCATCATCCTCATCCTCCTCATCATCATCATCCTCATCATCATCATCATCATTATCACCATCATCATCATCATCATCATCACCATCATCATCACCATCATCATCATCACCATCATCATCATCACCATCATCATCATCATCATCATCATCATCATCATCATCATCATCATCATCATCATCATCATCATCATCATCATCATCATCATCATCACTACCACTATCATCATCATCATCATATTGTACCAATGAATACCTCATAATGTTGCCCGCATCTGAGTTGTCCAGCCGACACAGCACCTCCAGGTTCTTTGCGTTGGATGATGCGTCGTCATGGAGACCCACATCCTGTATGTCTGGGTCCTCATCATCGCTTGGTAGTCTCCAGATGGCTGCCTGGCCCTGGAGTTTGTTGTCTACAACTGGAAAGAAAAATATCCATATTCAATCAAGCGTTTCTGAAGCCCAGCTGACCGTCACCCTTCCTTAGAATCCTTAGCGGGGGTGTAGCATGACGGGACTATGTGTCTCTCCCGTAGCCTGACCCGGGGCCAATCAGGTATAACACGACTACGGACGACGCTACCACAGTATTCACATGCTTGCAACATATGCGAAACCAAAGTGTGAGGAGAACTTTGGTCTGTTTAGCAAACACTAGCGCGCTGACCGTTAATCAAGTCCATTCATTTACGTGCAGTTGTTCAAAAGAACCAGTATTTGCCATGCTACACCCCCTTCAAAGTCATTGTTTAACAACGTTTCCAGTTTTACTAATCTGAGATGCATAGCCCTACGTGTTATCAGTGTCTGTGATAGGATGTAATATTGAAGCCCTAAAAAAAAATTGCCCTTCAAAATGATCATGAAGTACTTCAAAAAAGTTAAAATCTTCAAGTGACCAGTTTTACCAAACACATTTTTCTCAATAGCCTGTAGTGTTATAAAAAACAGTTAGGATAACGTTATTTCAAAATTTGGAATTCCAATCATAAAAATCTTGTGTAGAGTGAGGGTGATACTACTGGCACTTTTTAGGCATGTTGAGCATTACAACACATCTCATTATTGTGTTATAATTGTGACAACACTACGCATAAAATTTTACAGGGATGAATAGTAAGTATTATAAGACGATGAAGCGGATCCTGATCAAATTATTGGTTTAGTTGCTGAAAATGGAGTACCAGCATAGACGTAGACGAAAATAGATCTGGTAGTCAGGGTGTCTGATCGCGCACCCGATGTTGTGTGCTGAAATTCTTCCCATAGAGATTGCACGCAATGCAGTCTCTATGCAGTCTACGTGCATTGCGCGACCATGCAAAAAAAGTCAAGTTTTTTTTTTTCAATTCGAGATTCAAACCTTTATCCGTTGTGATCCTGAAGGTGATACTCAATAAGTGAGGTGTCATATGAAAGCGCAGGTTCTTCTCCATATTTCCCACAGGGCCGGCCCACCCCCAAAATTGTAAAAATATATTGCTTAGACTAGAATCTAGATCTAGTCTACTCTCAAAGATACACTCATAAAAAACAACCGTGCAGATAAACTAGAGAAAGGCCAAGGTGGTGTCATTAGTTGACTCTTTTGTTTTTGGCATATAAAAGTATTAATGACTGCTTTAATATTCGAGAAATAGTTGTTTTTATACGCTCTCGGGAAGGTTACAATTGGGCTATTGCCCTCGGCACGCCTCGGGCAATAGCACAATTCTAACCTTCCCTTGAGCGTATAAAAACAACTATTTCTCTCAAAGCAGTCATTAATACTATACTAATGACCAGTCATGAGTAAAATCATCTTATAAAACATCATCTTATAAAACAAATAATACACAGCAGTGAGGGCATTAGTAATAATTACCAACACTCGGCACCTTCGAAACAGTCCGAACACCCCCGGCTTGTTAGACTGTTCCAAAGGTACCTTGTGTGGGTAATTCTTACTAATGCCCTCACTGCTGTGTATTACTTGTCTAATATTAGAGCAGACATCTTTTTAAAAAAGGTATCTGGAGTTACTTTTGTTGAAGCATGTTGATAGGACATCTTTGTCTCCTGGGCTTGAACCAATGTGCCATATCTCTCCATCTTTGTGAAAGAACACCGTTTTGTTGAGAGCATTATTATCCTCGTCAAAGTCCAGCACATGCACCTGTAGTATGGATGAACAAACATAAGATAAATTATCTTAACGGTTGAAGTGATACCCCGCTGAACATGTAACCAACCAAAAAAATCTCAAAAACAAATTTAAGTTCTATCTATAAGCCAACAAACAATGAAAAATGTATGACTGTGACATTACTAGCCTCATTTTGTATTGTAATTGTTAATAAGAGTTATGTTCTCTTGCTAAATTATATTATTATTCAGACAAAGATACCCAATCCCTTTAACCAATGGATCCATGAGTGTATTACTATTAATAAATTTAAAACATTGTCTTGAATGTTAGACTTACCTGATTGTCATATTTGAGGGACTGTGTTCCAACTAGAAAGCGGATAGCATCTGTCTCAGCAACCTGGGCTGTCAAGCTTCGAGCCTGTATAACGTAGGGAAAATCTTGATGTAACATTTAGCGAGAGGAAATTTTGACTATTTAGAAAGTCTTAATCTTATCTCTATTAAATAGGGATAAGATTAAGACTTTCTAAATATTTTTTTTTAAACTATAAATGTGGAGCAATGTAAAGCAAATTTCTAGTAGTTGGCAACTTTTTTTTTCTTTTTTTCTGATTGCTACATGTACATTGGCAAGTTGAGATGATTGGTTGACAGCTTCTTCTTCTCCTTTTCCTCTCCTTCTCTCTCTTCTTCTCTTTCTCTTCTTACTTCTCCTCTTTTTCTTTTCCTCTTCTTACTTCTCCTCTTTCTTCTTTTCCTCAAACTCCTTCTTCTTCTTCTTCTTCTGCTTCTTCTAGTTCTTAATCTTGTTCTTCTTTTTCTTTTCCTATGTTGTAATTTGAGATCAGCAGTAAATTCTGGTACTATGAATCTCGCACTCATAGTAATTTTGTGTGTAGGGAAACTTTTTAAGACACCCTCCATTAATTATCAAAATTTTAAAACACCAAAGTGCTGCACAAAACTCACCAGAATTCACTCATAATCAGCACTTTAGTGACAATTTATGACACCTACATACCAGGAAAAAGATAATTAGTTCGACTCACCGATGCTAGACAAATACTTTAAAAATCTGTTGTCAATCCTGGCGAAGAGCCACTTCATTCATTTTTATTGTGAACCGTGAATTGTGTAGTTTCAGCTAATGATTGATCAAAGCAAAATCCACCGCAAAAAAAACTTGATTCTACTGTCCGTTGTGCGCCCGTAAATGTACAGGTTTTTACGTATGCGCAAATGGTAAGGTATCATATGGATCAAGTTTTTTACAACCAAATTTATGTACTATCAATTTTACACAGAGATTCAGCGTGCGCGTTGGCCAAGAAATAAACACAATGAATACGAAGCGATTAATGAGTGAATGAGCGAATTCTGATGAGTTTTGTCTTTTGAACAGTAGGGGCGCTGGTCCAAGAATGAGGATCATCTTCTTTCAAACCAGAGAGGCATGGGGGAAATGGAGAAAAGGGGAGAGAGAGAGAGAGAGAGAGAAGATGAAGTACAGTTAACCCTGAGTATACAGACCAACCGAGGCAGAAACAGAATATCCTCATAAATGCGGACAAAATGCGTCCTCAAAAATAAGAATTATCTGCATTTTCGTGGATGTTTTTTTTCATCGGCGCTCTGGGGGTTTCTGGTTACCGAACCATCTGCTGGCGATACGAAATATGGATTCAGCGTAAGAAAATGACCCTAGTTCACCATCTACTTTCATGGGTTATCCGTCTTCCCTAGGATTTATCGCTCATAATGTGAAAGTCTCTGTACAAAGTCAATTTAAATGCATTACCATTAGGAAAATCAACACGGAATCCATTTTTCGCATCGCCAACGCACTGATAAAAAATATGAAACGTCTGCGAAAATGCGGAAGATCCACAATTTTGGGGATGCATTGGTCCAAGTTTACGAAGACGATCCTATTTTTTGCAGAAGATCCTTATTCTCAGACCAGCACCCCTTTTGTTCAACAGTGGTGTTTGAAACTGTTGAGAATCAATAAAATAGAGGTCGTCTGAACAGTATTTCCTTCAAAAATTATACCAATGGCAATGCCTCCTTGAATTGAGAGATAGTTTATGGCATGACATAGGCCCATCCATAGCCGTACATAAGTTTAGTCACTCATAAATTACTCTACAGGCGCAGGCATCTGTGATAATCGTAGTCTTGCAAGTTGCAGACGCGACATTCACAATACAGAAAGATTTCCTTTTGCGACAGCCACCACCTAAAATTACACACACATTACTGTACATGCACGCACATGGTAACCATTAGGGTTAGTGATTGGGTTAAATGAAGGAATCTACATTATTTATAACCCTATCACTAACCCTAATGCCAACCTTTTTTTTTTCTTCAACTTGGGTGGGAGGCTGTCGTGAAAGAAATCTTTCCCACAACACAGAAATAAATGTATGGGACAATGGTATACAAATGACCTGGACTCTGGCCTCTGGAGCTTTTTTTTATTCAGATATTTACAAATCAATCGTTATTACTTCTTATTACCACAGGATCTAGCTTAGGTTACTCACTTGAAACTCCAATCCGTAAATAACTGGTGCCTCGTCATCCATTACTCGTTAATTAGGTAGTAACGCCAAAATCAGTGCCCCAAAAATAACTAGACTGTCCAATCACGTGACCTGCATCTGATGTCTAATTTTCAGACTCTACCAATGTTTGGACTGCGAACTCGGGCTGCAGATTTCAGAAATGGTCCTAAATCTTGTATTAACCTCTTCCTATATCGGGAAATAGATAACTTTAATAATTTAAGAAAAGCAATGGAATTCTATAGACAAAACGATAAAGTAGAGCGAAATTATTAAAAAAAACGAAGGAAAAAAAAAAAAAAGACTGTAGACTAGTACAAAGAAGTGGGCGTGGTCCCCGTGGTCTCTCTCTCTCTCTCTCTCTCTCTCTCTCTCTCTGTCTCCCTGAGCTGAGGAGTTTATGCAGTAGCCCACCAGAACCAGAATTAACCTCTCTCTCTCTCTTGCTCTACCCTCTCTTCCTGTCTCTCTCTCTCTCTCTCTCTCTCTCTCTCTCTCTCTCTCTCTCTCTCTCTCTCTCCTTGTCTCCCTTCGTTAATTAGAAGGACTTGATTTGCCTTCGTTTTTGAGAAATGTCTAGTAGTGTAACATTAACCGATTCAACTCACCTTTATTAATTTAGAAAGTCGTCACTCCTGTTATGATAATTACTGAACTCCGAGTAAAAAAGTTAATGATAATAATTATTCACCAAATGACTGGACGTAAAACACGAAACATATTGTTCCGTGTAATGTTTTTTTTTTTTTTTTTTTTTTTTTTTTCCCCTTCCACAGGGATCCTTTATTGAATAATATCGTTCACATTATACAAGAATTGGTTTTTACATGCAGAAATTCAAAATAATATTCCTGGCCATTCAAAATATGATAAGAACATACATTTATAGATACCGGTATCAGTTACAAATTGAAGTTCACTATTTAAAATAAATATCACAGATTTAGTTGGCAAAATGATTTTAGAAGAAATAAACAATCAGAAACACTTTGCAAAAAGTAACCACTTTTCACAAATTTCTGTTCTTTCAGATTTGTTTTACATATATACTTTTCCATGTTATAATAACACTTTATCGCTGATATTATGTTTTCAAAAACTGGCAAACACTGTTTACATTTGGCTGCAAAAATTTCTTTCCTGACTATAATCATAATACAGTTGAGGGCACTGTTATTATTACCGTGAAACCCAAACAACTTATTTTGATTTCTAAACTTAATAAGTACATTATTACGAGACAACCAATACTCGAGTTTAGACCATATTTCGGTTGTATGAATACAGTAACAAAATATATGTATAATCGTTTCTACACTGTTATTACAGAATGTACATAAGTTATCTGTAACTAATTTAAATCTTAACAAAGCATCTTTCATATAAAGAATTCTATTCAGTAACTTGAACTGAAACCACCTCATGTTAACATCGACAGTTGAATTAAAGGGAAGAAAATAATACGAACTCCATACAATATTGTCAAGGTCAAACTCCTGTTTCCACTTAGTAAGGCTCTTACATTCCTTTATATTATGTTTCAATAAAGAACGGTATATATGTGCACAACCTTTTTCCACTTTTATTATTAATAACAATGCTTCCGGGATGATACATGTAGGTTCAATGACCTTTGGTATGACATTTTTATTAAAACCAAATCGAATATAGCATTACAAAAGCCATAATATTGAAGCAAGTTTACATGTACATTATATTTATGTTGAAAATCAAAGTATGAGAGAAATGATCCATATGTTTTTAAAACATCGTTAACAAAACGTACCCCCTTAGCGCACCAAGACTTATGATAAATTACGTTATCATTAACTTTTATTTTAGGGTTATTCCAAAGGGGTTGACATGCAATATCATTTACAGTGAATTGAGTAAGGTCTGAAAAGGCTGATAATACTTCTTCCCAAAATGGGTTTCGTATTGTAGTGTAATATTCAGCCCCCATGAATAACTGAAGAGATGTATACGGTGGAGGTAAGAATAATTGGAACATATGAAGAGAGAAACTTTCAGAACAAATAATCTTCTTATCCATGATATCTTCAGTGATTTACAATGCATACAAAGGTCAGTTACTTTAACTCCGCCTTCATTGTACAATTGACCCATTTGTTTCCTACTTATTTTATCACGTTTGCCATGCCATATAAATTCAAAAAAACGTCGATCGATATCCTTCATAATTTCTAATTTTGGTTCAGGAAGAGATAAAAATAGGTAGTTCAATTTGGGTATAAATAAAGATTTTACTATGGTAACTCTTCCTAAGGGAGTCAATGTTCTTTTCAACCATATCGTCATCTGACGGTTTATCTCTTGAACCTTTTCTTGATAGTTGTGATTAACCATTTCTGATAATTTAACTGAAAAGTCTATGCCCAAGTACCTAAAATATCCCTCAGATATCCAATTAAGTTTGTACTCGTGTAAAATCTCTTTTTTGAAAGTTCTGTTCTTCCCAATCCATATCACTTGAGTTTTAGTCGAGTTGACTTTGAGATTGGACATATTTGCAAAGTCATTAAGTATTGTAAGGGCACATTGTAAATCCTGCATTGAACCGTTGAGTGTCAAAAGGGTATCGTCTGCATATTGCAACAGTTTAAGCGTTTTTCCATTCATATGCAATCCGTCCAAAGAATGTGAGTGTCGTATTAGGATCCCAAGTATCTCACTGACTAACAAAAAGAGGTTCCGTGTAATGTTGATAAATATTATAGGACTAAACCCACTTATATTTTGTGGTTACGTCTAAAATGGAGGGTGATTTCTTTTTAAAACCGTTATACAAGTGATACATAATTTAAAGGCACACTGCCATACTTGTAGCTACTTGCTCCCTCTATATAGAAAACTTCCACAATCGGTGCCTGTTGGTCCCCCATGATCCTCTTTTTCTTATGTTAAATGAGAGCTGAGTTAATGAGATAGCCACCTGTCACAGTGACCTCGATGGCTCTCTGTGTGGTCTAATCCCTTCTGGCCCAGTAGTGGTGACGGTCTTTAAAGCATAATAAATACAAGATGTAAGAATAAATGTCAAAGGCTTCACACACACCATGCCCAATTCTATGTTTTGTTTGTTTACTGTTAATCCATGCTTATCGTCAGATCTCAATCCTTATAGTTATCGGGGGTTTTCTGTTTTGTTAAGGACCAAACATTGATTAGTTTGTTATTGCCATGGCTACTAATACCATGATATCACATCAACGAAGATGAAAAGTAAAATTGAATAATATAGACATGTCTGAATCTCATAAATTGGACCACAAAATCATCGATCAGTATATTTCATAAATCCCTATATCTGATATTTAACAAAAATATTTATCACAACCGTCAAATGTTCTCCATTCAATTAAGCGAAATGAATGATAACACGGGCAAATAGCTTTAATTGCAGCTGAGGATTTTATTATTCTTTGATCGTAACGTGGTGCTTATTGCTAAGATTTGCAGAGCTGATAAAAGTAATTAAAAAAAAATAGAATATTAGATCTTTATTGTTAACACTTTATCAGAATATGTTGGAACATATTAGCATGCGTTTTCATTCTATTTTGGAAAGGGTAGTACGAAGGAAAATAACCCATTAAATATGCAAAATGACATACTGGTACCAAATAAAAGGAAAGTGTTTCACACATCAAACCTAAAAGCGGACTTTGGAATACAGGTAATATTAGAATATAACTTTAACGTTTATAAGATACATACAAACAAATATACGAAAAACAGGAGGATGATAAATTAAATCACTTTTTACTTTACATAGTATTGAAAATGCGGTTCAGAATTTATGAACGTCGTAGTTAAGAATGCAAATTAATGGAACAAGTTTGATTTAATTTCGTAGAATTGATCAATAAATCTCAATATCATTAACAATATCACATGAATTCTATTTTTAAAAAGGCCTATGTAACGTTGAGGTAAAAGTGATCACATAACATTTAAACTCAGTTGGTCATGGGTCAACCAATGTAAACATCTGTCTGGTCCACCAAACGCTTACGTTAGATATACACTTGATTCGTCTCATCTGATCATAATTTATGCATTATGTAATGAGCATTTCCAACGACGTGCATGCAAGCAATTTCGAGAAATTTGTAATTCGAATTAAATCTTAGTTAGCTTATATTGTGTGTAATACTAGAATATAAGAATATTTCTATCTTGTCTATCTTTTATTTTGATGGTTCTTCTATGATTATAAACACAACGATATAGTTTCGCATATATATATATATATATATATATATATATATATATATATATATATATATTATGTATTTATACAATGTATTCTTGTGAATTTGGATGAATAAAAAGAATTGAATTGAATTGAATTGTACTGTACCTGAATTTGTCCCAAAATTTTAACCAGCCAATGTTTACTTATTTCTAGCATGAAATCGTTTTACATTTCTTGTATTTGTTATTTTGTTACGCGTGATGATAGCTTAAAGTTAAAGCAGTAATGTAAAGATTGAAAAACCAGTGAAGATAAAGATACATTTTCATCTTGTCAATATTTACATAACATGCCGCAATCAGCGATAGTTTTCAAAAGAATCTTCTTTAACTTTTAACAAGAATAAGTGCTTTACAATCTGAATTTCCTTTTTTATATGTTTTAAGGATTTAGTGACTGCAAATATACTCGTTTGCTGTAAATAAGGGGGGAGGGTGGTGATTCTTTAATCCCAGAGCAGTTATGTGCTTCTTCTTTTTTTTTTGTATAACGATCCGACATTGGCTCCGGCGATATTTTCTCGGGGTTTTATTCATCATAGATAATTATGAGTTCGATATTGGGGATGGAGATGGGGTTATGGTTAGGTGGCCTACATAATAGGCCTACACGAATAGTATTTATTCCAAGGGTTGCGGGTTTGAATCCCAGCCCGGTAATAACCTCCTTTGGCAAGACATTAATCTACTTTTGCCACCCTTTACCCAGGTGAAGATGTGTAACCCGTTAGGCCAGAGCGCTACATATTTGGCCGCCATCTATGATGCATGATGACCGTTGGAGCGCCAGGGGCATGACGGAAACGTGCGCTATGATTATTATAATAAAGCC